CTAATGCTAATATGTTAGAATACTCTTAACAAATGTAACAACAACAATAAAGTCAAAGGACTAGATGACTTGTCAAGTGAGATATTGATTGCAGTAAGAATGCAAAAACAAAAAGGGCTTTAATGGGCAACAACAATGGATAGAAATTGAGCTCTAATACCAATTTTTGTAGGGCAATAAGATTTTTGCAAAGACTAGGAAAGAATGGAATTAAGGGGTGAGTATCAAAAAAGAAAACAAAAACATGAGACAATAAGAATTTGTCCTTTTTTTTTTGGATCGGGAATTTGAGAATATTATTAAAAATAAAGATGGAGATAAGGTTACATGAGAGGCGAAGGAGTCCTCTACAGGAAGAAAAATAAGATTGAAAAAGAAAAGAAAAGGTTACAAACTAAAATATAAAAAGCATAACAGGAAATAAGCTCGAACTCTCAACAAACATCACCAAAAATCCTTGATCAATAATAATGGAATTCTTTCAAAATCGAGGAAGCCCAAAGAGATGCCATAGGTGTAACTCTGTCCCACAAGTCTTCCCAAGCACTCTCTCTATCATTGAAAATCCTTCCTTATCTTTCCAACCAAACCATTATATAACAAAGCCAAAACTGCACAACTCTATAAAATCTTAGCTTATTGCTAGAACCAAAGCCTTATAAGTGTTGTGTAAAGAACAAAAAAAAAATCTCTAAGAATCACCCAAGAGATACCTTACTAAACTCAACGTGTTCCACAATTTTAAAACAAAAGAGCAATGTAAGAATAAGTGATCCATACTTTCCTCAGTTGTCTTGCAAAGAATATACCATTGAGATAGTAAACAACAAAATGATCTTCTTTTTAGGAGCAAGTCTTTAGTATTGAGTTTCTTGTGTGCATGTAAAACCCGGGAAAATTTAAACTTTTTATGAAAAAGGGCAAAACAGTAATTTATCACTATAGTGCGGGTTGAAAACCCGTATTTTTCTAGACCTCGAATGATGAGACGGATCTCACAGTTAGATTCATCTTGTGAAATCTAGTTACCTAAACAACTTTCATCGAATTTTGATATAGTCGAATTTTTTACGTTTTTCAAGGCGATGGACGGGTGTAGGGTGACCGCAAAAAAAGGCCAAAAAAATAAAAATTCTAAAATTTTATTATAATTTGAAAAAAGTTCATATAAAAATATCTTGAACTTAAACCGGAACAAAATTTAATCGTTTCGCAACGAAAACAGACCCGAAAATAGGGAATGTGTAGCGCGACGTGGACCAAACGTTAAAATGTATAAATAGGAACAAAAATCTAATTTCTCCACAAAAATCTCTGTTGAATTCCAATGAGTTTAACCTTGGAATAGGAAGAGAGGAAAAAGAGAAATTTCAAGACTTCTTTATCAGATCTACGGAGTTCTGCCAGTCAGAATTCTTCGGGCCAAGAGTTAAAGTCAATCTACGCAACGAGGGCTACCCCTACATACCAAAAAAAAGGATTTCACCGAAGTTTCAAAAAATTAGATTTTGGGAAAAGCTTGGATTAAAGCTTGGGTTGTATTCTTGGAGCCTTTTATGGTTGTTTTACGCTTCGAGAGGTAGGGTTTTCATCATAACTACATTTATTTACAACCTAAGATGAATATATGAAATGGGTGGACTGTTTTGTGTATTTTAACACTTGCCCATGATAGTTGATTTAATGAAAATGGATGGATTCAATTCTAGTATGTATTGATAATTAGAAATTGCTAGTTTGTGATTTCTTAGAAGTTTTGATAGTTGGGTAAGTGGAAGTGACTTAATCTAATTTTTTTTGAGTTATGTGATGAATTTGGGCATTTTATGGGATTACATGATTTGGTGCCTTGAAGGTATTTGATAAAATGCTAATGTGAAATAAAGTGTGTTAATTGCATGAGATTATGTGAAAACATGTTTGGGCATTGTTGTTGATATGTTGATACATGTTTGTAGATATATTAAAATTGTGATGAATTATGATAGTTATGTGCTTTTAATATAAACTGCCGTGGAATATGTAGATATTTGGTTAAATTGTTCATATGACACTCGTACATATTGGACATGACATTGGTGTTGCAATTACACATTACATTGCATTTGCACGGAGGCAACGAATTCATGGGCATGAGTGTGGGTGTGTGTGCATAGTTGAACAAACACCATTATTGGTGAATGATTCATGGGCTCGGGATAGTTGGGCCAAGGTTTGACCGAGTCACATTGTTTGCATTAAAATATGGTCGGGGTTAGCAAGAAGAGTTAGAAAGTTCCTCGGGTGCAAGACTCAGTGATTGAGATACGCACTCCCTTGGTTCAGCCCATAAAGTGTGTGGGTGTACGCGGAAACCATGGTGGAAGCCCATGAATTCCGTGTGGGTTAGGTGACCCTTGATGTAAGTCCATGAATACCCACCCCAAGAAAGACCCAAGATTTATAATGGTCATTTGATGTGCAACATAAATGACGGATTCATATACATTGCCATGACACATGTTATGGGAGTCGGTGAATGGCTTGGGTTGAAATGTATGAGTGAGTGTTACCTCATTTCATGGTATGACATGGTGATTGTCAACATTAAATTGCATATTCTTGATTTGAATGCTTTATGTCTTGTTGATTGTTACATGTGAATATTTCATATGCACTTAGGTTGAGGAGTGACATCTTCAAGAGATACCCTATTGAGCGTGACTCATCCTTTCTGAGAAAACATTTCAGGTACGGGCTATACATTGGTGGATGGCTCGTATTTGGGGCCTCAAGGATGAAGAAAAGCTGACTTGCGACTTTTAATTCACGTTTTGTAGAACTATTGTGAAAAATTATGCTTTTGTAAAACATTCGCTAAGTTAGGTTGTTTTACACTTCGAGAGGTAGGATTTTCATCCTAACTAGGTTCATTTTCAACCTAAGATGAATATATGGAATGGGTGGGCTGTTATGTGTATTTTAACACTTGCCCATGGTAGTTGATTTAATGGAAATGGATGGATTCAATTCTAGTATGTATTGATAATTAGAAATTGCTAGTTTGTGATTTCTTTGAAGTTTTGATAATTGGGTAAGTGAAAATCACTTAATTTGATTTTTTTTGAGTTATGCGATAAATTTGGATATTTTATGGGATTACATGATTTGATGTCTTGAAGGTGTTTGATAAAATGCTTATGTGAAATAAAGTGTGTTAATTGAATGATATTATGTGATAACATGTTTGGGCATTGTTGTTAATATGTTGATACATGTTTGTAGATATATTAAAATTGTGATGAATTATGGTAAATTATATGCTTTTGATATAAATTATCATGGAATATGTAGATATTTGGTTACATTGTTCATATGACACTCGTACATATTAGACACGACATTGGCGTTGCAATTACATATTACTTTGAATTTGCACGGAGGCAACGCATTTATGGGCATGAGGCATGAGTGTGGGTGTGTTTGCATAGTTGATCAAACACTATTATTAGTGAATGGTTCATGGGCTCGGGATAGTTGGACTGAGGTTCGACCGAGTCACATGATTTGCACTAAAAATAGGGTCAGGATTAGCAAGAAGGGCTAGAAAATTTCCTCGGGAGCAAGACCTGGTGATTGGGATACGCACTCCCTTGGTTCAGCCCATAAAATGTGTGGGTGTCCGCGGAACCCTTGGTGGAAGCCCATGAATTCCGTATGGGTTGGGTGACCCTTGGTATAATTCCATGAATACCCACCCCAAAAAAGACCTGAGACTTATAATGGTCATTTGATGTGAAACATAAATGACGGATTCATACACATTGGCATGACACGTGTTATAAGATTCGGTGAATGGCTCGGGTTGAAGTGCATGAATGAGTCTCACCTCATTTCATGGCATGACTTAGTGAATACCAACATTGAATTGCATATTCTTGATTGGAATGCTTTGTGGCTTGTTGAATGTTGCATGTAAACATTTCATATGTATTTAGGTTGGGGAGTTGCCTCCTTAGGAGATACTCTATTAAGCGTGACTCACCATTTATGAGAAAATATTTTAGGTACGGCTCGTATTTGGGGTATCAAGGATGAAGAAAAACCGACATATGACTTTTAGTTTACATTTTATAAAACTATTGTGAAAAACTATGCTTTTGTAAAACATTCGCTAAGTTAGTTTTTGGGTATGCAATGTATGTAAAAGAATTGTAATCAAATTCATGTGGACTATTTTTAATATTAACATTGCATTTTGTTATATGAGTATGGATAAATGGATTCGGTGTGGTCAATGCTTACTCATAAATGGATTTAGTGTGGTCAATGTTTACTCATTAATGAACTCAGTGTAGTCAATGTTTTATGATTGCACATGTTGTGTTTTTAGGTAGAGCTCCCCATACGAAAGAGATTCTTCCCGAATTTTGTTAAATTATGGATACTAGTAAATGGGGCATAATGGAGTGATATCGAGTAACACGGTATCCAAGGGCATTCCACGGGTTGATTGGTGATCAACGGGTTGGCAAAGGACCTCGGTTTTTGGGGTGTCACAATGCAAGCAACCAAGCAAAAACTTGTACCTTTAATGGAGGCTTAGACTTCAAAATCATGATTAAGCTTGGGAAGATTGGGAAACTTGGCTTATCAATCAAAGTCTCAAAAAAAGGCTTACAAGAGAACTCACCCAAAGAAGAAATAGTCTATTTCCTACGATCCAAATGTGCAACTCGTTCATATCATGAGCTAGCCCAAAAAAAATAAATGATTCAATACAATATTATCAAGAATGCCCAAAAGGGAGGACATCCCAACAACTTCTCTATCATTCAAGTTCCTAAAGAAATCAAAGTTCCAGCAATTTGGGGAAGAAACATATGAGATCATGGTAAAAATAGACGAATTGGGATTTTTAGGCAAATGATATAAGTGAGGACACATGGAAGCAAAAGAAGAACCATCACCCCAATTATCGTCCTAAAAACAAATGCGCACCAACATACTTTTTTTTAAAAGGGGTGCAACACGAGAACTTCCTAGGTGATTACCCATCCTAGTTCTACTATCACACAAGCACGCTTAACTGCGGAGTTCTAATAGTATCTGGTGCATTAGTGTTGATATGATCGCACCTGCTCACCAACATACTTAGACATGTTTATGAAACAATATAACCATTGAGAAATGAATTTTCAAGGACAACGAGAACACCATCTCTCAATCACTTCTAGTATCTCGCCCGTTATCTTGAATCTCATATTTACTTTTAATCACGAAATGACGTAAACTATTGAATTCAATGGGGAATCTCCATAACCATTTGGTAGGTAATGAAAATTTTCTAACCTTCAAATTTCCTAATGCAAGACCACCTTTAGTTTTGGATCGGGTCACCAAATCTAACCTTACCAAGTGATCTTTCTTATCTTCTCCACAATGCTCTCATAAAAAAATCTCTAATCATCTTCTCAATCCGTCTCACCATTTTCAAAGGAATGGAGAAAAAAACATGAAAACAAAAATACAATCTATTTATTTATAAAGATAAACTTAATAATTAATTAATTGAGCATGTGTACTAGGTTAACATCCATTTATACAAAATAACATCAAGTTGGAGGGGAAAAAAAAAAGGTTTGACACGAGACGAAAATCACTTCAACTAGTTTCAAACATTTTTTATACACAAACATTTTCATATATTTAACAAATAAGGTATATACCATAAAATTAATTACAACTATTTAACAAATACGATATATTGTTAATATACCAGTTTAGTAAATAATAATAATATAAAAGAATTAAAGAATAAAAGTAAAAAAAGGGGGGGAGGGCATTAACTTAATTAAAAAATATAAAAGACATAACAAAAATAAAATACCAATATAAAAAAAAAAAAAAAAAAGAGGGACTAAACAGACGTTCTTCTTACGTCTCAATAAAATGCAGAGAAAGAGAGGGAGAACAAACGATGAGAGTTTGAGATGTAGACTTACGAGATAGAGAGAGAGGAGACCCGTAAGTATCGCGAGCCCCATCCCTATCCCAGATCTACAAATCTGAGAGAAAGAGGATAATACCCATCCCAATCTATAGATTAAATCGAGAAACAAACTCCCCTTCCCTTGTTTCCGCCTACGTATATAGGATATTTTAAGAGGTGAACATCTTTTTTAGTAGCAAGGTCCAGGAAAAGAATAGGAAAGAAAATTTCACTATATTTCTTACCAAGAACAAGGTCTATCACAAGAATCTTTATGAAGGCCCAACAAAGAAAAAGAAAGAAAGAGAGCAGAAAAATAAGAGAAATGAACAAGCTCATACCTGGAGGAGGCTGGATATGGAACGTGGGAGTGGAGAGTGGCTCTGGACTCAAAGAGGTAAGTTGCTAAACTCTTCTCCTTTCGATTTCTGGGTGTGCTCTCTGTCTCTCTATCGTTCCATTTCTCTCTTTGTTATGCGGGACGACAATTTTTTGGGCTTGAAACGATAATTTTCTGACCTTGACCATCGATTCCCAAATATTTTTTTTTTGATTGGGAAAAAAAATTCTTGTATTAAAAATCAGAAAAATATCAAGAATGTTGGATAAGGAATCCAACTACAAAAGCAATGAAAAGGAAAAAGAAAAAAAAATTACAAACAAAGGAAATATATAAATAACTTGTAAATCACATAAAGCTAGTCATCCTGAAAGTATAGCAAAAAATGGAATCCCTCTAAACTACTTTATAACTAAGGCCCAAAAAGACGCTAAGAAATGCATCTGGTCCCATAAGCCATCCAAACAGTCTCCTCTGTCTTAAAAAATGCGTGTGCTTCTATCCTTCCATATAACCCAAAAAGTTGCAATTATAGTACAATTCCATAGAGTGATATCCTTATCAATAGATCCTAAGCCTTTCAAATCCTCAACAAACAAAGATATGGATGATTTAGGAAGCATCTAACTCAAGTCCACCAAGTTAAACAACTTATGCCACAAAGTCAAAGCAATAACACAATGTAAAAACAAATGATCAATACTTTCATAATCACTTTTACACATCACACACTACTAAGAAGAAAGACAATTAATAGGTCTCCTACTCTAAAGTATATCGTTAGTATTAATCTTCCCATGTGCAATAGTCCATGCAAACACTTTCACTTTAATAGGCACTTTTGCTTTCCAAATCATTACAGTTGGAATAAATAGAGGAGTCGATGAATGGACAATTAAAGCATCATAGAAGGATTTAGTGGAAAAAGCACCAGATGACTCAAGTATCCATCTCCATCTGTCGCAAAACTCTTGAGATAACAAAATGTAATCAATAGTAGCAAGAAGAGACATCAACTCCAAAGTATCTCTATCATCAAGATTTCTACGAAAACCAAAGTTCCAAGAATAAGGACGATGAAAAGAGCTAATCATGGAAGAAATAGACACACAATGAAAACTAGATAAGTGATAAAGTCGTGGAAAAATGACAAAGATAACTCCCCCACCCAAGGATCATCTCAAAAACGGATCATTTCTCTATTACCCACAACAAAATTAGGATTATGGGAAAACCTCGTTACAATCAGAGATATGAATTTCCACGGGCAAAAAACTTACCCTCTCAACCCTATTAGTGTCCCATCCATTGGCTTGTAAATCATATTTGTTCTTAATAACTAAATACCAAAGAGAATTTTGTTCTAAAGGAAACGTCCAAAGCCACTTGCCCAATAAAACAATATTTCTAACCTTCAAATAACCAATCGAAAGACCACCTTTATCTCTAGATCTAGACATCACATTCCAACTAATCAAATGATAATTTCTCCCCTCACCACTTCCTTCCCACAAGAAAAGAATTTAGATTACCCCCTAAAGGTAACCCTAAGTACTTTAAAAGCCACTCAAAAACTAAACATCCTATAGCTTCTGCCAATCTTATCATCTTCAGTAGAGAGAGAATTTGTAGAGCAAAAAACAATTAATATTTATTCTCCTAGCAATATCAATAACCAAGACTTGAAACCCATTACATATAGGGTCTATTTAAGGGGTATATAAAAACCATAATTAGCACTTTCCAAAATAATAATCATAATATTAAAATCTTAAATTAACAAACAAACCCAATAAATCCTGAAATATAAAGTACCCCTAGAAAGGTCCATTATCATTATTTATTCATCATCCCATTCCTTTACGTTCTCGTAATATATTCAATCAAGCTTTCGCTAGGATACCTAGGCATTCATTTCCAAAACACCCAATAGACAAGCCCAAATAACTCAATTAGCAATGCCTTCCAACAATTTCGCAGGAGCACCCAAGTTCCAGTCATGCAACAATCAATACAAAAAGACATCTAAATCAAGGAGATCCTCCTGGAAGCGAGGTCCACTCAGGTAGGTTGAACAGCTCCCAGTTGTGAGTCCGAAGTTTGGATGCGTGAGGCTTATGTTAGGCTCAAAGCTGACGATTTTGCCTTATTCCTAACCCACTGTTGGATGATTTGGCGGCACCTTAACGAGGTGCTATTTCAAAATGCGAAGAAGGAACCGGAGAAAATAGCCTGCAATGCTAAGAGATACCATGACCAATATTTGGAGACGATTGGTTAGGCTGCGCAAAGAGAGGTGCAGTGGAATCCTCCAAAGCCAGGTTTCGTCAAAATTAACTTTGATGGGGCAACCTTCGAACAAGAGGAGACCATTGGCATTGGTGTGGTTATCAGAGATGAAAGCGACCAATTTCTAGCAGGACTCCCCAAAAAGTTTCAGATCAAAGGTGATGCCCTTCTAGCAGAGACGATGGTCACCAGAGAAGCTGTCTTTCTAATGCTTCAACATGGGTTTCAGGAGGTTGTCACCGAAAGGGACTCGGCTATTGTAGTCAAAGCAATTGCTGACAGAGAGGATGACTAAAATCCACTGGGACATCTATAATGAGGCTAATAAATTTGCTATCCTAGAAATAGATGTTGTCAGACGAGCAGGGAATAAGGTCGCACATCATCTAGCTAGGCATGCTTGTTCTATTGATTATTTATCTGTATGGAGAGAGCATCCCCCAGATTTCTTAATGCGTATCCTCTTTTCTGACATATCAGTTTAATGGAATTTTTATGATCATTTCTTTCAAAAAAAAATCAAGGATATCCTCCATCACCTTCTCTAGCAGGAGTGGCTTCTATAATAAGGCCGAGCTTCTCAAACAAAGAAGGCTTACATACCATGATATTAGTAAAGGCCCTCTAATTAGACATTAATGATCACCCCAACATTCTAAAAATTAATAAGAGCTTATGCATATGACAATCATCAATCCGCTACAAGTTTATTTTAACATTTACAAAAAAGCTAAGTATGGCTGATCTTCGTGATCAGAAACAGCTTCAACAAAGTCAGTTACCTAGTACATTAGCTACCAGGCCAAGCAGTAATCACCTTTGCCAAACATTTTCCAAAATAAACTGGACGAAGCGATCTGGAAGCATCTGGCCTTCCCCAGTCAACTGGGATATTGAAAATTTCAGAACTCTTCAACTGCTTGGAACAAAAGAACATAGAATGTAAGCCAGAAAGGAAAATAACCTAAGAGGCGATCTCCAATTGCAGAACAGTAATCAAAAGCAATGATTTCTTACCTCAAAGTAATCATCACGAAAAGAAATTTCATCCCTAAAACCACTCTCGGAAATGTCATATTCAGCATCATATACCCATTTGTTCTCATATAGTGGGATATCCATCCCAAATAAAGCATTCTGAAGAAATGCAAGAATATAATTGATTAACACAGCTTTGTGCACATCAAATTACAAAAAATTGAAATATCCTCTATGTCTATGCTATCAGACAAAACTACTGCATGGATGCCAACTTGCCAAGGCACAATTCTAATGTTCTAAAACTAAATTGTCCGACTATTCTCCAGCTTTGGACTTGGGATTGGATTTAAGTTTAATTACAAGACTCAAGGCTTACTCCTGTTTCTACATTAAAGGATTTAATATTTACAATGTAATTGTCCTTTTTATTGGGTTCCAACGTGTGCACATTGAGAGAGATACAGAGCCAAAGAGAGACGGAGAGAATGCAGATATGTGAGAAGGAAGATGCAAAAAATATAGAACCTGCCATTT